GTCTCGGTCAGCCGGTCCGTCTTTTGCCACCGGTCCCCGACCGGTTTCAAACTCTTCTGACCCGGCTGACTGCTGACTGGACGCTTTTCGCCAACGGATAAAAAAAGGAGGGTCGACCTTGCGCGCTTGTGTGTACCCTAGGTCCCGTCCCCTCCGTCTTAACCTGGTAGGAAGCGGAAGCCGTAACCGAACATCGTGTTTCATTTTTAACTTGTCCGTTTTATCGCCTAAAATATTAACTATAACATAATAGTTTTCAACCATTGCTACTTTACCCCCTCTATTCCTGGACCATCGTTTGTAGCACAAATTTGTGCTCGAGGGCTGGTTGATACACTTTTTGGGGATTTGGGTTTTGCCAACGAATATTGAGCACTTTTCTGTTAAATCGAGCGCTTTCTTAGAAATTCGTGCGCTTTTTGTTATGAGAGACCGACCGCTTACAGCCGTTGCTGGCTTATATCACGATACCGTACATGTTTCACCTCCGTGTCCCGCCATTTTTGGCCTTTCTTGCTCCGGTGCGCCCCCCCCCCCCCCTTGTGATCGAGAGTGGGTGTGTAGCTGTGTGCGAGTGCAGATGTCGGTTTGTGCATGCATTCTGACCGAGAGCGAGAGCACATAGGATCCGATACCTTAGTTGTGTCATTCGCAGGTACTTTGGCTGGGCTGCCATGGGTATGGACTGGCTTTGAACATCATGCCAGACTGGCCAGTTTTATCGCATGTGCAGCTATCCAGCTAGTGATCTGCTTGAAGCCTCCGATATGAATCATGCTGCTAGAGCTGGCTCAACTTCGTGACCTGATGGGATTCTAATCATGCAAGTGCTACCCAGCTAGGTACCAACATGCATGACTTCAGGGTCTGCCCAGCTAGGTACCAATGTGCATGACTTCAGGGTCCATATGGGCTTGTACAATAAACAAGATGGTCTGGTTTGCAGTTTGCAGCTTTCGTGGTGACTCAGTGGTGACTTTCGATCTAGCAGCCTATATCGATTGCACCATGTCGTCTGTGCCTATGGCCAGTGCCGATTCTGCTGTTGTGATCGCTTGGAAGGATAGCTCGGTGGTTCTTTCGCGACTTCTTGAGAAGAGCCTTCTTATTCTGGGCGGGAGTAAGAAGTTGACTCGCCACACGTGTGTTGCGAATCGCGATCTCTTGGTTCCTTTGGTGAACCTAGTGGGCTACTCGGGGGCATTAGCTATTTGAGACTGTGATGCCATCGATCCCAATCATGATAGTTGCCTTCTGCAACATTCTATCTATGGACATACTTATGTACATCTAAGGACTACGACCGAGCATAGATCTGGTGGCCAGCTACCTCCAGCGACTTTATGTCGACCACGGGGCAAAATCAAGGCCGGTGCCGGACTGTTTCTAAGCTTGAGTAGATTGTGCATGCTTAGCAGAGGGGCCAAGCTGGGTACAATATCATCTGAGGCAACTACATCAGGACCCAAGCTTGGCTTCTGAAGAGGCTTATCTCCATTTTCTCTCGTATTGCGAAGAGACCACACCGGCCACGGCAAGCGGACTTTCGTCGTTTGATGTCTGATGTGGGAATGGCATGACATTTGGATGGCAATACCTAGCTAGCCGATCATGGGAGGGAGTGCTGTTTTAAGTGGGTTTTAGAGGGTGCAGTCTTAGCTGTATTTAAGGCCAAGATGGAGAAAGTGCTTCTTCCAGCAGTGACAACAGCAACGACGATGATGATTCGACCAGCTGTACAACTACCGAGCCCGAAGACGATGTGACTCATGCTTACTTAAACTTATAGAGTTATATAATCTAAAACACATCGTACGAACCCCTTAACTCCCTCCTGATCCCAAGGTGCCAGTGGCTTCTGCTGACCATGGTGCTGGGCCGGCTCCGAAGCCAACAGCTGCCTCGGATGCACCGAAGAAAGAAGAAGCTGTTCGACCCAAGCCTTCGTGCCGCCTCCCTCGTGACCCTTCCAGCACCCGAGCTTCAACAACGGCCTCGCCCAGCCCCAGCACTGCACTTCCCTCCCGAGCTACGTCGCCTGCTCCGCCTCGCCTCGACTGCTGCTCAGCTCCATAACCCAGCAGCCCAAACCAGCTTAACATCGCCCTTGCTGCCCAGGTGCCTCGAATGCTTCATCGGAATGCATCACGACACCACCTCCTCGAGTCCGCATCTTGCTATGTTGGGAGGGTTTTTTTCACGCAGAGGTTTGTTGTCTTCGATGTGGAATCGCCGGTCTGCTGTAGCTAGATATGATCTTAGGTGAGCCGCTCTCTCCTCAATCGGATGCCCGTGCGAAGGGATTGCACTATACGGTGAAAGAGAGGCGGTATGGCTACGAGTGCTTGATCTGTGGACTCTTGGGAGACATTCGCTGGATCCGAGAATCCCCATGCAAGCCCAAGGAAGACTACGATGCAAAGCCCAAAGCTTCCCCCGATAAAGCAGCAGTGCAGGCTAAACAGTGGCAAGAACAGCAGGACCTCCTGATGGCAACAGAGCTACAGAGGCTGGAAACGGAGGAGAAGGAACTCGAGCAGCTGCTAGTTCTTCAGCAGTTGCAAAACGAGGAACAGCTTCTGGAAGGCTTGTTGCAGCAGAAACGAGCCCTTGAAATAGCTGAAGATGCAGCTGCAAAGGCCCTGAAGAAGCCCAAACCTGCAAGCATGCCAGCCGTCTTGCCGAAAGATGATGCCGCTACGATTGGGTATGGTGGCTAGGTTGCAGACTCGTGCAAATTGCACACAAAGCGCCAATATATGCACAAAACCCCATGCAATCTATTCTGCTAAATATACAAACCCATATGTGAGTGTGTATATATATATATATATATTTAATAACCAATAAATATAATGAAGCCGAGCAACCATGAGCCTCAGGTTTATACTATATGTATGGAATTCCCTAAACTCCATGAGCCCTGAACTTCCCTATACGTTTAACTGGATATAGATTCTTTAGGGCCGGGCCAAATCCACGCTAGCACTCCCAAACCTGAAGCCTTAAGCAAGCTTCCTCGCATGAGTGCAACCCCGGACTCCGAACTTCCCTAAACCCTCTATAAACCCGGAACCCTAAACTCTTATCCCTAAACCCGAAAACCCTAAACCCTAAATGAGACCTCATCGCATCTCAGGCTACGACAACCTGGAGACTCAGGTGATTCCGAGTGGCCCCGACGATGTGCCGGATTGGACAGCCGGTGCCTGTCAGCAAGCCGAGGAATCAGTTGCCCCAGAGGGCGAAGTTGATTCTGCTGTGGAGCTTAAGACTTCGGATGGAGATGCACCGCCACAGGGTCCTCATGATGTTGATTCTGCAGCTACAGAGCCTAAGACTTCGAATGGAGATGCACCGCCACAGGGTCCTCATGTTGATTCTGCTACAGAGCCTAAGACTTCGGATGGAGATGCACCGCCACAGGGTGATGTTGCAACTACAGAGCCTAAGACTTCGGATGGAGATGCACCGCCACAGGGCGATGTTGATTCTTCTACAGGGCCTAAGGGAGACGCAGAATCAGTGGCTCCTGCAGTTGATCGTGCTACTGGGACGGGGCCTATGGACGGAGACGCAGCACAATCGCAATTAGATTCATGCATTACATGTATGCATATCCATGCACGGCAACGGTGTGTGATCACACATTTTCTAAGGTGCTGCCAGCATGTCCTGTTTCGACACAGCCTTCCATGTCGCCGAAGCAGCAGGTCAAGCTCACGCATGCAGTGCCCAAGAGAAGAGCCTCGAAGAAGAAGCCCCAGCCGGTCGATGATGACGACGACGAGGAAGGCGACGACGGGGACGACGAAGACGAAGGTGACTCAGAGGCCGACTCTTCTGGTGGCTCAAAGACCAAAGCCAGGGCAGCTGGTCGTGGCAGGGGGAAAGGGGGCCGTGGTCGTGGCCGTTCAACAAAGGGCGGTGGTCGTGGCGGTTCGAAAGAGGGCCGTGGTCGTGGCGGTTCGAAACAGGGCCGTGGTCGTGGCGGTTCGACAAAAAGCCGTGGTCGTGGCGGTTCGAAAGAAGGCCGTGGTCGTGGTGGTTCGGCAAAGGATTGTGGCCGTGGTGGTTCCTCTGGAGGAAAGGCCGATGCAAAGGTTGCAGATGCAATTGTTGTCGAGGCCAGAGCCCCGTCGACGAAACGAGCCAACAGCGATCCTGCCGTGAAGCCCAAATCCAAGGCGAAAGCCAAGGCCGGCCCCCCAGCCGCTGAGGCTGCACCGAAAGCTAAGCCGAAAAAGGCCCGAGATGGCGACGACGATGAAGAAGAGCGACGAAAAAAATCCAGGAAGTCATGTGCATATCACAAAGCGAAGGCGAATGCAATCAAAGCGGGCCTCTCCGCAGACCAGGTCAAGGACGCTGCAAAACGAGTCGCTTGCATGATCGTGCACATATGGATTGAGTGCTTTATTTGTGTCCTTAAGTCACCCCTAAACCCTCAACCCTAAACCCTCAACCCTAAACCCTAAACCCTAAACCATCTAAGGCTTACAAGGAGACTGACTAGTACGATTACATGGATGCCTACGACTGGGTATGAGCTGGCTGGGTTTTGCATGCAGTGGATGCTGCTATGCTGGGTTTTAGATCAGTGTGCAATAAAGCAGCCTGATCTTCCGCCGCACTGTGCAGCACGGTGTGGTCCCGTTCCTTTCAATGGGGTTCAAAGCTTCGAGACATAGAGCTTGGCATCGTTGCTGGTACGATGAGTTGTGCCGCATGTGCAAAAACAGCTTAGGGTGCAGAGCTACAGGCAGTATGCATGCAATATCAACCGAATCGAGTGCATGTGCTTGCAGCAACAGATCCTACGTCTACATGTAATCAGTTACAGTTATTTGCAAGCTCTATGCCAGGATGCCACGAGTGGAAGGATGGGCCGTTCGATTGGCGATGCACGGTGCGACCATCCCGTGGCTTTAGTGTTTGACGATTTCGATGTTCTAGCATAAATCGGGTGCTAGATCGAAGCATCACGGGGGATCAGGATTTCTACGCCTAGGGGTTTGGGCTTAAGGTTGCATTAATTAAATCTCGGGGTTTACATATTAGATTGAGGATTTTTGCTTTGGCCTCCACTAGGTAAGCTGGTGATGTAAGCTAGGTGATGTCGCTAGTACATACCCGGAAGCCGATAGCCCTAAAACCCAAACACTTCTCAGCAAGTGATCTCGGGCCCGTGGGTATATTCACTAAATTAATGATAGCTGTCTTAGCTAACCCTAAACCCTAAACCCTTTATAAAAGCCCTGAACCCTACTCACGACCTGAAACCTGATCTCTCCAAAGCTATCTGGGGGTTTCCGAAAATAGGGGTACCCTATAATATAGAGGATCCTTATAATAAGGACTCCAAAATAAGGACCCTAATTTAGAGAACTACCCTAAACCCTAAATCCTAACTCCGCAATCCTGGACCTTAAACCCTAAAAAGGACCCTAATTTAGAGAACTACCCATAGCGGGTGAACCTCGGGTTGCCGAACGTGCGATAACTTCTACAGTGCTGATCTATATAGTGTACCATGGGTTCTAGGAAGGGATGGTTCCAATTGGGAAAATTTTCTGGGTTAGCTGGCAATGATCTAGAGGCAGATATGTATACTAGTTTGATTAATGACTATATATACATATAGAATTCCCTACATATAGGACAGTGACCGGCTTCATATTCATATACAACCAGAACCCAAAACACAATGGATTGGAACTAGCCTCGAACCCCAAAGCCCCGTATCCTTATTTCATAATCCCAGGAAGCCGCTCCTGAATCCCATAAAATACAGCATCATCGACCCTGTCTCCGGGCGGCTCGGGAGCCTTCGCCACCGGGTTGGGGGAGCTTGGGCTGTTCATCTTTACCCTAAGCCCTAAACCCTATACAGATACTATAGGCTGCATGACAAGTAAAGCTAGTGATTGGTTTCGCCGTGTAGGGTTCAGAGAATCCCATTATTTCTTAGTTCATCTCGAGGGTTTGTGAACGGCTGAGTTGATTCGAGTCTTTGGGCCAGGAGTTTAGGGCTTCGGGCCTGGAGGATTTAGGGTTTAGGGGGTTGTCGTGTCTAGTAGCAGCAGCTGTTACTGCTGCTACATGCTATATTACTATACCATATATAAATACTATATACTCCTACTACTACTACTACTACTACTACTACTACTACTACTATACTACTACTACTACTACTACTACTACTACTACTACTACTATACCACCAGTACTACTACTACATACTATATTATCAATACTACTACTACACTACTACTTCTACGACTACTATTATACTGCTACTGCATATGTATATATATATATATATATACTATACGCTACCTCACTACACTTCTACTGTTAAATCTACTTACTACTACTAGGGCCCGCTGGTGCACATGTGTTCGGTTCGGCATGGATGCTCTGAATGGTGTTGTGCATGGGTGCTGTGGTCGTTTTCCCTACCAACGGGGACTTTCGGGCTCTTTACAAGTCTCTGCGCACGGGCTGGCCGCCGTGTGGGGTGCAGGTCCGGCTTGAAAGCACATGGGGTGTTGAGGCCAACTCGCAACGAGCCCGATGCGAATGACAGCGAGACGATGAGCTAATGTGCTCGCTGGCACCCCTGCTTATCTGGAGGCTCAGGGTCATATCTCATGGGGGCAGGGCCCACCCCGTGACTATGGCCCTCCGCCGATAGACCGGAGTATCGTGCTGGTGGGAGGCCCTTCGTTTGGAGCCGTTGTTGTCGCTTTTCGATTAACTCGTACCATATATCTTCTACTATAGTATACTAGATCCTATATACTATATACTAAATTAAAAGTAGTAGTATTAGTAGTAGTAGTAGTAGTAGTAGTAGTAGTAGTAGTAGTAATAGAAGTAGTAGTAGTAGTAGTAGTAGTAGTAGTAGTAGTAGTAGACTATTATATATTGCTACTACTAGTATACTACTACTACTACTACGACGACGACGACGACTACTACTACAACTATACTATTACTACTGCTACTACTACTATATATACTACTACTACCACTACTACTATACTACTACGACTACTACTACTACTACTACTACTACTACTACTACTACCGCTACTACTACTACTACTACTTCTATTACTACTACTACTACTACTACTACTACTACCACTACTAGTACTACTACTTACTACTACTACTACTACTACTACTACTACTACTACTACTACTACTTCACTATACTACTACTTCTCTTCTTATCGTACCACTACTAGTCAATCAAGCCCAGGATCCAGTAGCCACCGGAATGTCCCATCTGGTTTCCTCAGTTCGGCGGGTGTAATGCTAGCTAGTTCCTACCTCGCCTAAGAAAGCCTGCAAGAAGACCCCAACCTTAAGATAAGATGTAGCTCCCGGAGGCCGGAACCTCAAACCCCCATCGATCCTCACAGACATACTGAATGCAGTTCATCTAAAAGTCTAACAAATTATTGCAAGCACCCAGATTCCAGGATGCCAGACACGGCAACCGTCAGGGATTGTGTTTTAGATTAGTGACAACCTATTTAGGGTATAGGGTTGCTCGGGGTTTTTCGTACGGGTTCGAGCACTGTCGAGCTCCAGGCTTGGTGTGCCGTGCACCCCAAGCATGATATACTGTATCTAGGTACGATATATATATATATATATAAATATGTGTATATATATACTATATATATATATAGCACATAGTACAGTGTACTAGATTATATAAACATATGACTAGCAAGTAGCTATGCATACTTTGCATTGCCACCTGCAACATAAGAACCAATATTGCCACTGCCTATACAACAGTACAATTTCAACAGTCTCTAAAACACCGCCACCAGCTCCACCACCGCCAACAACAACCACACAACCATGCACTATCCACCTCCTGCTTCTGCTGCTGCCCTGGCTACAACTAGTACTAGACTCGTCCAGCTCTATTCAAGGCCAATGGCCTGTGACCCCAACAACACCTTGAATCCTATATCACACATCTCCTTGACCCAACAACCCTGAACCCTAAAACGAAGCCTGGCCTCGGCCCTCCATGCCCAAAAATATCTAAACGCCTAAACCCAAGGGGCTTGTCCGAGTCGGGTTCAGGCCTTCGGATTTAGGGGCTTGAGTGTGTCTATTCAGTGGTTCCAGGATTTCGCAGCTTCGGATCTCTTAGCCGCAACCCCAGTATAGGAATCCTGAGCCCAAACCCAATATTAGTACTAGCTATACCCTAAAGCCTAAACCTCTTATACAGAGTCTTTGTGTCAGGGGTTCTAGGGGTCTGCTTTGGGAGTTCAGAGTCTTTCTCTGGAGTTCAGGCCGGGCTTAAGTTTTGGAGGATAAGAGTCTTTGGGTCGAGAGTTCTGGGCTTCGGGCTTCGAGGTTTTAGGGTTTCGGGTTCTGGGGTTTTATTATACATCTGATTTCTGTTTCCGGGCCATTGAGGATAGGACTCGGAGATCTTGTAGTGGTGTTATAGTAGTTATAGTAGTAGTATACTATAGTAGCAGTAGTAGTACTAGTATTAGGATCGAGTAACAGCAATATATAATATATAGTAATAGTATAGTAGTAGTAGGTACTAGTAGTAGCAGTAGTAGTAGTAGTAGTAGTAGTAGTGGTAGTAGTAGTAGTGGTAGTAGTAGTAGTAGTAGTAGTAGTATAGTAGTAGTAGTGGTAGCAGCAGCAGCAGCAGCAGTAGTATAGTATATAGTACTAGCAGTATATAAATAGTAGCAGCAGCAGCCCCTAAGCCCAAACTCTCTTGGCTTCTAGGGGGTTTCTTCGCAGAGTCTTTAGGGGGTGTGTTTTAGGGAGTTCCTATAGAGTCTTTATAAGGTACGGAAATTGGGAGTTTTGTGTTGGAGGTTAAGTTAACAAGAGCCTTTGCGACAGGAGTTTAGATCGGTCTTTGCTACATGTTAAGTTAAAAGAGTCATTGGGTCTGTTTAGGGCTTCGGGTCTTGAGGATTTAGGGTTTAGGGGTTGTGATATAGTAGCAACAGCCGCCCCTAAACCCAAACCCTATTACCTAAAAAAGATTTCTTTAAAGAATCTTTAGGGGGTGTGGTTTGCGAGTACGAGTCTATTGGGACCCCAGACCCCAGCAACACTTTGCCTGAATCTCCCTGATGCCAATTGAACCCCTAAACCCGGAGAGTTTGCTCGAGTCTTTGGGTTCACGCCTTTGGGGTTCTAAGAGTCTTGGGAACCGGTCGCCCTGCAACTGAAAACATTTAAGCCCCTAGGATCCCAGAACCCCGACCCTTTTGTCTAGTCAGGGTTTTCTTTTGGGGGCGAAGAGTCCATGCTTATATATCGGGGCGAGGTTTTGTTTACATCGAGGTTGTGTTGTTATTTTAGGTTCCGGGCCATTGGGGCCGGATTTGGCTGCACGGGTATAGCAGTGATAGTTGCAGTGTAGAATGGATATATGTGTAAC